ARWWGYAKMARASWARAYTYAWAAAAAAAAAAAAAAAAAAAAAAAAAAAAAAAAAAAARAAAMMAATAGAGAAACMGAGTAACAGATTTAWWACTAGAATCAACAAGGCAGGATTAGGAAGGGTATAGGAGTTTATAGGGAATTGTCTCTTCCCCTTTCTCATCCTTCGATCATAAAAAAATAACAGAGAACATAAACAGCAGAATGTGAGAGAAATGGTCGAGAAATGATTACCTGATCACGCTTATTCCCAAAACATTGCCGGAGAATTAAAGAACTGATTGAACTTTGGTGGAAGAAAGAATGGTTTGCTTCTAGACTTTAGAGAAACCCAATTCTGATAGGAGCTTGCTCTACAATTCCCTTGCTTCACATTGAAGGTGGGATAGGCGACAATAGGAGCAAGTGATCAAAAGGCGATGAAACAATGACGACAACCATGTTTTTGAAGCAATTAAAACCAGAAGAAGAGAGAAGTGGAGGTTCGGTGGTGGGAGAGATTCCGTCTCACCGCCGCTGTGTTGTTGGGTCTGGTAGGAGGTGAGAAAGATGAAGAAGTAGGGGAAGGAGGAGGAAGACCGAGAAAGAGGGGAGAGTAAGAGAATGAGCAAGGTGAAATAGCAAGAGAAGGAAGATCTTTCTTGCTCCGCTGCTATTTCAAGCTGAGAAGAAAATGAACAGTCCCCCTCTCGTAAGCTTCTTCAATTAGGGTAAATGAAAGTTTTAGGCATTTTATATTGAATCTAGGGGGGATTTTGGGATTTTATCAAATTTATGGGTAATTTTAGAATTTCGTGGAACCCAGTTTTGAATCGATCTAGGAGACTGAACCGGGGGAACTGATTCAAGGGCGGAGATTTTTGAGTCGAAAATGAAGGGTTGAGATCAGATTGATTGTGGCTACCCGACCTAGTGGGGGGGACAGATTTGGATATGGAATTTGGAGTCATCACCTAAATTTTTGGGAATTGGGAAGTTAGGAAAGTTCAGAGTTTTTTCAAGAAAAACATTTTTGGTTTTTTGGTAACTCGTTGCCCAATGGGATAGAGATTCTTAGGGTCTAGGGACCAAAGTATAGTGTGGGAAGGTGTTAGGCACCACACACTCGCCCAGTTAACCCTGCCTCTACTTTACAAAAGTTCTAATCATAATTTCAAGGCCTCTTTATTAGAAATAATACACACACACTAAACAAGCAATTTAAAGGAATAACAATTCTATCTACTCATTTTATTAATTAAAAAAAGGAGTATGTACTAGCACAAAGACAATAAAGAAAGAATGATCACATGCTATTCATCGTAAATACATCAAAAMAAAAAAAAGAAAAAAGAAAAAAAAAACTAAAGAGATTGCATGACGAATATCCTAAAGATCAAGACTCTATCTAAACAGAATTCCAGAAAAGGCATGACGATTAATCTAACAATGGAGATGTAAAATATTGACCTACCATGATGACACAACTTCCTATTAATAATTTATAGTAAAATGCATTCTATTAAATGGAGTTGTAAAACTAAATCAAATAGGCAAATAAGTGAATTACATGAACTAAATCAAATAGGCAAATAGATCGAGAATGCTTTCAGCTTCTTCTTTTGGATGTATGCAAGACTTGGGGAGTTCTTGGACTATAATACTAATATGGGAGGACTCTTGGTACATGAGAGATAGTGGGAAAAGAGTCTATAATGTGGGTTAGGGAAGTTTAGGGCTGCTTAGGATGTGAAGGGGGGGATTTCTCTAGGCTAGTGAGTGTAGGATCACCTCTCTAGGTTTTTTTGTGTGTCTAAGATATAAAAAAAAGGGTGGTATTTATAGATTTTTTAAGAGGAGAATGGATGGATGAAATGGGAGACAAGAGAGATCAATGGCTGATGTTTAAGAGGTTTTTGGAGGGATATTGATTGAGAGAATGGACTGTCAAGACAGCTTTGTGAGAGATTCTCCCAATCAATCAAGACAAAGAGTAAAAGATTATATCAATTTACCTAAATTGGACATTCCAAGTTTAGGTGATTGGCTTAATTGATTGGAAGCTATAGCTGGTCAAATCTTAGATTTTTAAGATGTTTCTAGAGATTGAGAGGAAGTTTTAGTCGGCTAAGAGGTTAGCTGAAACATGCTTGAATCTCAAAATGCTGCAGAAAGACTGAAGAGCACAAAAATGGGGTGTCTACACTGATCATAGGGAGTGGATTTATGTGTATGGACCAATAAGATTGATTGAAATAGAATCTTTTTGGATAAGAGGGTTAATGAGGGTATTTTTAGCTGAAATTTTGTAGAGTGGGGTTTTCAGACATTCTGAGTTAATTGGCGGTGTCAGATTGGCTAACAGCGAGGTCGACGTCTTTGTGCTTGCAAGGTAACGCTCTCTCTGATGAAGCCAAGGCCCTTGCCTGACATACCATCCAGCGCCTCCTAGTGATGATGTTGCACTCTCTTTGGCCGAAGCCAAGGTCTCCACTCAGCCCTCCTCCATGGCTTTGAGAGTGGGGGCAAATGATGTAGGTGCATGTGGCAGGGCTAAGAGGGTGCCATGTGGCAATCGGCTAAATGAGATCCAGGTCGTCCACTGCTAACAACCTCCGACCAATTCCTAGGCGAACTCAAGTATAAGTGGGGGTGTCCCTTCCTTGGTAAAACATCTTGGCTCATTCCAACTCTTAGGCTCTCTAACTCTTGAATGACCTCGTCTAAGCTCTCTCCTCAGGCCTCGTCCAACCCCCTTTGATTACTTAACTAACTTAATCATCAAATTCTCCACCCGTGGATAACCCCTGGAGCCTTTAACGCGCTATTTCCTCAAGTCAGACACAACAGCCCTACATATCAGCCCTCGGACGCGGCTGTCCTCGGCCAACGAATTTCAATTGAGGATGAAGTGGGAGTCTTTACTGCGGTTTCTATTTTCTAAGATAACAAACATGTAACATGTCAGAATGGAGGAAATTAAATCGATTGTGAGTGGATTTAAATAGCCCCTTCTTTGATTTTTATTTTTATTTGAAAATTACAAAATTATAACGGCATTGGAAAACAAATGTGAAGTAATCTGAGATGGACAAGTGTTTTTTTTTTCTCTTTCTTTTAATATGCAAAGAGGGACAATTGCATTTAAATATGTAACGGTTGCATAGATTTTAGAATAGTAAAATATCTAGGATTACCTTATCTATAACATTAGATAACGACTTAAAATTATTAAAACATTGAATAAGGACACTTGACGCTTACAACTAGGCCGGCCGGCCCTTCCATGTCTAATACCAGCCATTACTCAAGGTCAAACCATAAGCCCAACCTGAACCCAACACATGAATGGGCTTGATGCCGCCTCTCGCCCAAATTGTCTTGTCCTCTAGTCCATGCCCTGAATCCTCACCGTCCTTTTGGGTTTCCGATTTCGGAGAACACAGTACCTGACATCAATGCATCAGATTCACTGTAGGACTTGCTGTTTCCATCGCTAGTGAAAGTACTTGTACCGCTGCTCTTCATATCGGATGAACCAGAAACACCGCCGGAAACAAAGACTTCACTGATGGAGGAGCTAAGTGGAGTTTTCTTATCGTTCATCTGGTTTACTGAATCAAAATCACCATCACCAAGCTTCTCGGCACTCTCCTGCAGCTGCAATGCAAATTCAAGATTCCACAATACATCAGCCATGGTTGGACGGTTGATTCCCTCGTCCGCCAAACAGTTCGCAGCGATCTCTGCGAATTTCCTCAAACACTCTGGCGCAATCTTTCCCCATAAAAAGGGATCAATGATTTGATCGAGGGTTCCATCACGACGGCATTGCAGGGCCCAGTCGGCCAAGCAAATCTGCCTGTGGTCAAGATTCCGATCCAGGGCAGGCCTCGCACACAACACTTCGAACAGAACCACTCCAAATGAGTACACATCGGATTTCTCCGTCAGTTGCTGCCGGCGATAGTACTCCGGATCCAAATACCCGAAACTACCCTTAACCACCGTGCTGATATGCGTATTGGATTGGCTGGTAGGACCCACCTTAGATAACCCGAAGTCCGATACTTTAGCAACCCATTTATCGTCCAACAGAATGTTTGTGGTCTTCACGTCTCGATGAATGATCGTGTATTTCGCACCCGTATGGAGATAATGTAGACCCTGAGCGGCGCCGATGCAAATCTCAAGCCTTTGCCTCCAAGGGAGAGGTGGTTTGTTAGATTTGTAGAGGTGATCACGAAGGGTTCCGTGGGCCATATAATCGTATACCAGGATCAATTCTCCATGATCATCGCAGTACCCGATCAGAGAAACGAGATGGAGGTGGCGCAGCTTGGATAACATCTCGATCTCGGTTTGGAACTCGTGGGCCCCTTGCTTGGAATTCGGATCTCTGCGCTTGATTGCAACAGGGGTTACCCCATCGTCGACGTAGCCTCTGTAAACGTTGCCAAAGCCGCCGACACCGATAAGTTGTCCTTCATCGAAGTTATTTGTAGCTACCGTGATCTCTACAATGGAGAAGTGGCGGCAAAGACCCGATGGTAGAGCTGAGGTGTTTGTCTTCGAAGAAAACATAGACTGTGAAACTGTGGTCCATCCAGATGTTCCGTACTTAGTACCGGAGTCCTTTGTACCACGTCGCCGGAAAACAAAGAAACCCACTAGAGAGAGCACTACTACGCAACCCAATATACCTCCGGCAACAATCAACCACATACGGTGGTTGTTCGACTTATCAGATCCCTGGGAAGGAACCTGTGGATTTATGTTTTGTTTTGGAGGAGGATTGGGTCCGGCGAGATTGTGGTCTTTACTCAATTTGAAGATCTCGATCCCGTTTAAGATTACATTGTCGTACGTAGGGTTTACTTCCACGTTAGGGTGCAGCTGAAGCCAAATATCCTGCTTGTCGACGTTTCCATTCACAGGAATGATAATGTAATCTTTGAACACCGGAATCCCCTTTCCGCCACTCCATTTCAAGACATCAGCTTCTCTCTCCGCCGTCTGGTTGCCAATCAAGATGAAAAAAATTCTTTCGGAAGGCGCTGTTATATCAGGCTGAAATTCACAAAAATGGAGCCTAAATAGGTAAGAGAACCCCTGATCGACAAGGAAACCCCAAGTTATATTATTGCGAACATTAATTGAATTGTTCCCAATCATCGTCCTGGCCGTGCGGTAAACGTCTTCAGGCGCAGTGTATGAAGGTGTAGTAGCTGTGTAGTTGATGTTGATGGTGGTATTTACGGGTTCTGCATCATCACTTCTGTTCACTAGGTAGCTATTGTCCTGATACCATTGCCTGTACATGCCGGTATCTTCTTGAGTGGAAATATCATTTCCAGCAACGTTTAATCGGTAAACCATCTCAAGGGCCATCTCATTACCAATAGAATAAGCAACTTTCCCAGGTACAAGCATTGGGTCATTTCCGAAATAGAGATTTCCTGGCATCGAAACGACCTCGATCCCATTCACAAAGCCGTAAGTGTCGGAAGTGTTGGGATTTGGACTGAAGGTGATATCTAATTCTTCATTGTCTGCGATGACGATGAATTCTCTGAAGAAGTGACTCGTGTTGAAGAAATCTGCAGTAAGGGAGGCACTGAAATTCTTGAGCAGAGTATACGGACCAGCAGAGACGTCAAATAAAGCTTTTGTTCTGTTAGCTACGGCATATGAAGCTGGGAAGAAGTGGAGGCGAATAAATTTCGGACCGGCAGAAACCGGAAATTTGTAGGTGAAGGGTGCATAAAAGATACGAGCTGTCAGATAAGGGATTTGAGGCACGGAGGGCCCTTGAGTAGCTTGGGAGATTGATGATATGTTGATGAGAGATGCGAGTGGCGCCAACTTAGAGCCGATGTCACCCGTCCAGTTCCGACCATCCTGGGCTGTTATCACCTCTGGAGGGGCACCGCAATTAAGGAAGATTTTGTCGGAGGGATCATAAGGAGAGACTTTGGCGACAGAGATTACGAAGACGTAAAAAAGAGTGACCAGAGAGTCTCTCCTGGTGTTCTTCATGGATGCAGAAAGACGGGAATTAACTAGAACAGTGGAAAACCAAAAGAAAAGTGAACAGATCGGAATTAGCAGAGCTTAATTTCTGTGCTAATCATACCCGTAATACTCTTTTATCTCTCTCTGTACCGCAATTATACATTTGCAATGGCTAAAGAGTTCTGAAGCCTCAAGCTGTTAGAATTATAGAAAAGTCTTGCTCAATTGTAGTTGTAGCGTTGTTAGACTTTATGAATTATGACCTGTGAATGACAGCGAAAGATGGGATATTAACATAGTGGAGGAAATGCCCATCCGAGACGACACTAAAAATTCACGGTGGTTAGTGGTTTTGACTGACCAAATCAAACTCTCAAAAGCCACTAGATATCCGGGCATAATTCGAACCCAAATTTCCGCTACAACCAGCAGAAGCAGGATATCTGGGCAAAATAACCTTTCACATAGTTTCCATATTGAAGATTTTCACCTTTCTCAAATATTTCCATCTATCAGTAAGAAAAAAATGCAATCTTGCAACATGTATGGATCATAGAAGGCCCAATGTAAGCTGTAGTTTATAGATGGACTACAGGCCTGGGCCATTCATAACGTTAGAAAATAATCATACTGAGGGCTGATTAATAAATTCCAACATGCCCTAAAAAATATAAAAGAAAATCAAGTAAACCGAAATCATGCCTAATAAATTTTTACTAGTGGACATTTGAATAAACTTCAAAATAATCCTCCAAACGCGATGATTAGTACGCACTGCTTTTTGTTTTTTCTTTTTAAGGTAAGTTACAATGCGGTCTATCGATCGATGGTAATGGAAGATATCTCATGACTGTATATGTATCACAAGTTATAGAGGATACGCCTGGTTTGACAAAACTATGTGTTGACTACATTTGGATTGTTTTTCATTTTTAATAAAAATTATAAATATAATTATAAAAACGAAATAAATAATTTAAGATTTAATTTTTCTAAAAGGTTTAATAAAATTAAAAATTATAAAAATAATATATTTCATCTACCTTAAATGATTTATATATTTTATTTTACACATATATAATTGTATGTTAAAAATGAAGACATAGTTATTATTAGAAAAAAAATAGAGTTACTATATAAAAATACTAAATAAATAATTTTTTTCAACAAAATTAATGGAACAAATAAGTGAAATACATTAACATTCATTTTATAATAATAAGTGAAGTGCATTAACATTTATTCAATTTGACGTCCATAACCAACTCAAATAAATAACATACATTATATTCAATTACACCAACTATAAATTAAAAAGAATAATATTTAAGATTAATTTTTTATAAACTAATAGAACAAATAATCTATAAAATCCAAATTTATATAGAAAATGATTTTTGCCTCAAGAAATTTATATAAATAAAATAACAATAATAAAATAATTATTTTAGTACTTCAAGTTTATAAATTTACACATGATATGTACCTTAAAAATTTTGTAAATTATTAATTAATATTTTAATTTGTATTTAATAAAAATATATTTATTATTTACAAATTATTTGAGAATATAATATAAATAAGTCTACATTTATATAAAAAAAATGATAAATTAAAGAAATAAAAATATTAATAATGGAATAATTATTTTAGTATTAAAAATTATGAATTTACATATGATATGTATCTTCGAAGTTTTAATAGATTTGATATGTTTTATGATTATATATTTTTGTAAATTTTTAATTGATATTTTAATTTACATTTTATAATAACATATTTATTGTTTACAAAAATAAAAATATTATTTACCAAACATTGAGAATTAAATGTTTAGTTGACCTTTTACATTAATGTTAAAATTTAAAAAAATATATATAAAATAATTAATATAATAATTCAAATATAATAGTTGCATATGTTTTTTCCTTGGACATTAATAGAAAATAAAATAATAATGGTTGTATATGAATTGATTTGTAAAAATCTATATAATATATGTCTTGGAATCTTGATTAGTGTATTATCAATAAAGTTGTATGATATCTATACATCCTAATATAATAATTGTAATGCATTTCTTCATATATAACATACAAATATACATTTTTTATGTATTTATACACTATATGTGATTATTTTGACATTAAATTTAGTAGTATTAATATACATATGGAATTTGCATGTATTTCTCTAACGTATCCAAGTGTTTCTATATTTTCATTCATATCCATGCATTTCCAAAGCATATCCATATCTAAGCTGTCCAATATGATATCCGATACTAATATTTTAATCCTTGCTATAACTGAATTCATTCAACTGCTTAGGTAAAACATAAGAAAATGCTGATGTAAATATTTGTCCACAAGAAAATGCTGCCAATGGAAAAACATAATAATTGGTGATCATTAAAGGGAGAGTTAAGTTGAAACCAATGTAAAAGTGTCCTCTAAACTCTAGTTAGTTCATCCACTTTGAGARMCATGCAAGATGCAAACCAAATTGATTGGGTTAATGGATAGCCAAAAAATAAATGATGAATGGTCTTGTCAGTAGTGCCACATAATCATAAACAACAAGTGGGATCAATTCCAAGACTATATTTAACCAATCGGCCAATGGTAAGAATAGCATTAACCAAGCATTACCATAGAAAAGAAGTGCACCCGGACTGGCAAATGTTTAATATGCCAAAATATCTTCCATGTTACTACACCAAAAGCATAATATGCAAAATGATGTGCTATATCAAACAACAGGAGATGGCATATTGAAGAAGTTGTAAACTTCCCATGAGGAGTAGGTGTCCAATCAATTTATCATCAATATCTTCCACATTAACCGGTAGAGGTAAAGTTTTTATAAGTTACACAATTGAGGGATAAAAGAACTTTAAAAGTTGTTCATGTAACCATGAAGTACAGGCATCTCACGAGGTAGTGAAATATTGGAGTCGGGAGTCCAATGTATCTACAGTCCATCTGTTACCAATACACCATTGGCAACCACGTTTTAAATAAGGTCGGCATTATTTAAGCAACTCGACCAAATGTATGTCCCTGAGGTTCGGGAAGATACAAATACAATTCAAAAATTCTTTTGTTGTAAATATTTGGACAACAAAACCTATACCCATAGATGTCAGTCAAAAATCTCTAACCTAATTTAGAAACAAGTACTAAAATGTTGAGACGATGGAAATCTTTAAAACGTTTCAAACGATTTGGGTTTAGTAATAGCATGCATCCCACTTCCGCAAATATAAATGTCAATAAAAATCATGGGTCATAGATATAAATTGCTGATAATGGGAAGATGTGAGAAATTTAGTGGTCATAATATATGTAGGGAGAGAGGACACTGTACTATTAAGTAGAATTGCCTTACCGATATGAGACAAACCACAACCTTTCCTTCCTTTCCAACCTAGATTTGACATTTTCAATCTCCCTTGATCCATATTCTTTACAAGTCTTAATGTCATGAAGGCTACAACCTAGATAAAGTTCATCACCTGTCATTGGTTTAACCACGAGAAAGGACATTGGCATTCGGCAACATCATCTATTAACATTAGAGATAAAATCAAGGTTTTTAAAATCGATTCGGACAATGAATTGGTCAGGGGTCTGGTTCTCTGGTTGAATGGTCCAATCATTTGAATCGAACGGATAACTCGTTCTGACAAAATAAAAAAATTAAAAATGACCAAAACCGTTGGACGGTTTGAATAGTTTGACCACCTGGATCAGCAGTTTGCTGACCAAATCAACGGTTTTTGGTGAAATAACAATTCTGAGGTAAAACAGAACTGATCACTTAACCGGTGCCCRATTTTTCTGGTCTGACTGTCCAGTCCGGTCTGGTTTTGAAAACCATGGATAAAATAGATGAAAGATTTATCATAACTGATTTGCTAATTAACCTGACCAAGAACAAAACATGTCCAAAAGCTCTTTGATTCAACCTTGTGCATAGAACAACTCATCTTGTCCCAGTTTAACACCATGCAAATGTCTCTCTTCAAGGTCCCCTAATAATAATTTGGATAATTCATCAGCACCCAAAAAGAGTAAATAAGGTGAAAGAGGGCATCCTTGGTGGAATCCGTGATGAGGTTGATACAGTTGAGAGAGAATACCATTCAACAAAATAGAAAAGTAGTATGTCGAAATGCAGTAAATGATCAAATGGCAAAATTGTTTAGAAAATCCTCTTACCAGGAGTACAAAAATAAAAAAAGGCCACTCCATTTTATGCCTTACTAAGGTCTAATTTCAGCATACTTTTAAGTCTTGATGTTATGATTTTAGTCACAAATTTATATGTGACATTTGTTAGCCCAATGGGTCAAAAGTCAAAAGTAGTTTCAACACAATCTTTTTTGAATAATAGAACAACTTGGGTGCCATTTCTGTTGAATTTTCTCAAGATGAGCAAATAAATCTTGAATAAAAGCTATTAATTACCCACTAATATCAGTCCAATAATGTTGATACATTTTAGCACAAACTAGCGGGGCGCTGTTCTCACGGGTTTTGTTAAGCACAAATGAAAAATATGGGGATTGGTAATATTCCTAGTTTTTTTCATGTTCAATGGAAAACATAGCAACTTATTTCTAAAGAAATTTCTATTTGATTTGTTCGGAGTTAAACTTATAAAGCAAGGGAAAATCTATGATACTGGTAAAACATGATACAACAAAGGCTTTCACCAATTAAGACCCCTTTCGTGTTTTTTTGATGAAAACCCATTTGATTGATTACTACTTTTGTGATGCAAGTTGATTGGTTATTAGTTTTTTTAAGTCTTTGGGGAATCATAGTCCAACCCAGGAATCAAAAGAGGTAGAACTAGGCCCCATTGGACAAATTTCTAGGTCTAGTGCAGTCCTAGGCCTAGACACAAAATACAGGCCCAACTTAAGACTAAAATCAAATTAAAATTCTATTATATTAATTATTTATAATTGAAACATTTAATTACTAATATAATTTAAGGTTATATGCTATATGGGGGTGTTCTTTTTTCAGATTTTCAGAGGGGGGAAAGTTGGTCAATGGGATTTTGATTCCATGGAATTTTGAAGCAACTGTTAAAGACTGAAAGACYGCTTTCTTACTATAAGGTAACAGCACTGACGGTCACTTAGCCAACCTTTTAGATTGAATRCAGTCACTAAGCTAGTCACCTCACCTCTCTTTCTTCCCCGCA